TTGTATGTTGACTCTCTGACACCCACTGTAACTGTATTTAGAGAGAGAGTCTTCAGGATGTAACTCAGCTTAAAGGCGGTCATAGGCCTGAGTCCTAATCTGATGGGATGGTGTCCTCATAAAAAGATGAAAGAAAATCAGAGTTCTCTTTCTCTCTGTCACATGAGGACACAACATTAAGATGGGTTTGTAAACCAGGAAAAAAGCCTTCACTAGAAACTGACTCTAACGGAACCTTCATTTTGGAGGTTTCCAACCTCAAGAACAAGGAGAAATAAATGCCTGCTGTTTAAACTACCCAGCCCTGGCCGGGTGTGGTGGCTCATGCCTATAATCCAAGCACTTTGGAGGCCAAGGCGGGCGGATCACCTGAGGTCGGGAGTTCAAGACCAGCCTGAACAACATGGTGAAACCCCGTCTTAAAAAATAAATAAATAAATAAATAAATAAATAAACTACCCAACCCTAGCAAACTAAAACAGTTCTATTTCTGCTATTTTGTCAGGCTGGAGTGCAGTGGCATGATCTCAACTCACTGCAATCTCTGCCTCCCAGGTTCAAGTGATTATCCTGTCTCAGCCTCCTGAGTAGCTGGAGTTACAAGTGCACACCACCATACCCAGCTAATTTTTGTATTTTTAGTGAAGATGGGGTTTCACCATGTTGGCCAGGCTGGTTTTGAACTCCTGACCCCAAGCAATCCACCAACCTCAGCCTCCCAAAGTGCTGGGATTACAGGTGTGAGCCACCACGCCCAGCTTTGGCCACATATTCTATTTTTGTTTCACTTGTTTATATTTTTCCTACCTGCTGTCTCTTACTCCTTGTGCTTCCAATACTTCTCTAGTATCTTACCTTGACTTCTCCCTCAACTTCTCCCTCCCTTCACAGTCAAGTTTTCTGAAAATAACAGTAGCCATTTCTTCATTTCTTGTTTATTCCTTAAAATCTACTATAATTGGGTTCTCATTCTCACCGTTCTACAAAAAATGATTTTAACAAAGTCATTACTTATATTCCCAACCCAGCGGCTTTTAAAATAATCAGCATCTAAATTAGAATACACTTCAGTATTTTATACTGTTGGATATTTGAAACAAAAAAAAACACAGGTAGTAGTACAGAGATTATGACTTTGAATTACAAACAGGACACACACAAATGAAAAGCTCCATAGGCAACTGAAACATGTGAGTTGCTAAACAGAGATTTGTAAGCTATCTATACAGATTTAGAAATTTAAGAGTTGAGAGTAGATATCAGGGAGAAGGTACAATAAGAAAGACTGCTGAGAAGAGAACTTTCCAGAATACCAACATTTAGAGCAGGTGAAGAAACAAAGAGTTTAGGAAGGAAACTAGATGAAGCAATCAGAACACCAAGAGTGAGTTGTTATCTAAGAAAATTTTCTGTACAGGACTAATTTAAGAAAAGGCCTAATAGTTTTAATAAGTAGGTTACAGGCTACTTGAGGACACAGCTTATTTTTATTTAGTAAGTAATAAGTCATTGATGGACTGAATCTTTCCTATAATAGTAAACAGTATAATTAACAGGTTTTTTTCTCCTTTCTAATCTTACTGTGATTTATAATAGAATTTACTGTTGTATCATAGAGGCTACTGAAGTACTGCTTCACCCTTTCAATTAATCAGTGAGATCTGATTTCTTTCTTAAAAGGGCTTAAAATGCTTTTAACTGCTATAAAGATTATGATTAAGAGTTTGCTCTTTAATTCTCAAAAAGCTTGAAATTCTGTTTTCTGAAACACATAATTTAAAAACATTTGATTTACAATTATAGGCACTCATGTGGTAATTTTGCTGCTCTCAGTTTATACTATTTCTTCCGCTAGAAATTACATATTAATACAAAGACTCAATTACCAGGCACCCCCTAGTGGCAGTAAAATCAAGTTAAGAAGTTTTTCTGTTTTTAGTTTTTTGGTTTTTTTTTCTTTAAATAGGACATGGTTTGAGATATAGTTTTCCGTATTTATACTGCCTTAACAAAACTTAAGAATGGGATAGTCTGTCAGTGAACAATTTAAGAAATATTTTATTTTATTTTATTTATTTTATTTAGAGACAGGGTCTTGCTCTGCTGCCCAGGCTGAAGTGCAGTGGTATGATCACAGCTCACTCTAACCTTGAACTCTTGGGCTCAAGCAATTCTCATGCCTCAGCCTCCTGAGTAGTTAGGACTCCAGGTGCGTGCCGCAACACACAGCTATTTCACAAAAATTTTTTGTAGAGATGCAGTCTCTATGTTCTCCAGGCTGGCCTCAAACTCCTACCCTCAAGTGATTCTCCCACTTCAACCTCCCAAAGTGCTGGGATTACAGGCATGAGCCTATAATCCCATAATATACTGTAACTAAGAGTGAATTCACACACTGAAATTTCATGCAAATTCTTAAGAATTATAAGATAATACATGCAAATGCAAGAATGCAAGAATATATACATAAACCTTCCCATTTTACTCTACCAATTACAGAGTTGGTACATTCATTTGCCAATTCCCAAATATAACACTTAGAATCATAATTACTCTTTTCTCCTTTTTAAATTATAAATTAGGTTGCATATTGCAACTAAGATTTCTATGAATCCATCAACAACAAAATTCTGCAAAAGCAAATCAGTTTGATTCATTAGAAAGTCTAGTACAAACCAAGTTTATCTACCATTTTTGATAATATGATATTCTATATAACTTACTAGGATATTGTTTGCTTGATTCTACTACATAGTTAAGATGTCAAAACTTATTTTTATTTGATGAATCACAAAATAAAACTCACAACTCAAAAATAATTACCATTAGCTTTTAAGGTTCTGCATGGATTTTGTTTTGTTTTTTAAATTGCCTCCCATGAAATCAGCTTTTAAGATATATGTTATTTTAAAAATCTCTCATTTTATAGAAAGATATACTAAATAAACATACTACAAGAAGTAAACACTGGCTTTTAAGTTATGTTTTAATAAAATGTGCATTAATATGACTTTTACATTAGCAGGAGTCTTCATTTGTCCCTCCTCATGCTACGTTTTTTGTTCACCTTTGAATTTTTCTCCCTTTCTTATTCTTCCAACACAAGAAACGGAATCATTATAACTTGGTAAAAGTCCACAGAGCCAACTAGAGAAGGATACTTTAATGCTATATAAAGTACTCATTCTCCAATAAACACTAGAGAATGTTTCTTTCTTATTCTTCCAACACAAGAACAGAATCATTATAACTTGATAAAAATCCACAAAGCCAACTGGAGAAGGATACTTTAATACTATATAAAGTATTCATTCTCCAATAAACACTGTATTTCAGTAGCACCGTAGACTCCTACTTGCCTAGGGAATGAGCAACTGGCAATCAAACTAAGGTCAGCTACACGGCAAGGAAGAACATTTCCATTAGCCCAGGAAGACATTTTGATAAATCCATTTAATCATGCTCCTGGAAAGCAATTGATTATAAACAATGATATCTCCTGTCTACTTTTAATTATATGGATTACACATTTTATGATAGTGATTATACTTTGTTAACTAACCTACAAAATAATGTTCTATCTGACTAGATACAGAACCATACCTGTAACTCTTTAACTTAATCTCATCTGAAGTATATATCAACATTATTATAAACACACGGCCTGTAAGTTTGTGTTTGTAATTTTGTTACTGTGTGCAAATTCCACTTTCTATTAATATATGATCTAAACATAGATGATAAAGAGCAATCCAAGAACTCTTTAAATTCTTAAACCCAAACAAACTATTAACAGACCATGAAATAAAACCACACAAGATTTAACTTTTCAGTTCAGTGATTTCTACTTCAGGAAGCCAAATTTAATTTTCCTTTTGCTACTATCTACATAAAAATCAAGATATTTGGTAAGTGGTGGGGGGAAACCTTGAAAATATTCAAAGTTTAGGGACACAGGTCTCTCTACCACAAAAAACCACCAAGTTGTATTTAAGAGAGGAAAATTTATAAGTGAGATAATACATGCAAATTCAAGAATGCAAGAATATATACATAAACCTTATATATACATAAATAGAAAATTTAAAAATAACAAACATAGTTCTGGAATAATACTGTACGAAAACATTCTTCATAAAAATTATCACTAGCATAATCATTCACTATGGGTCAGTTTCCTTCATTTAGCAATAAAAAACATATAATTAAAAATTAAAACCATGTGATCATTGTATAAATGTATTGCGTTCCACTGTGAAAACTGAAAACACAATGAAACCCTCTATTCCAAACAGAGAGAAAATCTTAATAAAAAATTTATATCGCTGGGCACAGTGGCTGATGCCTGTAATCCCAGCACTTTGGGAGGCTGAGGCGGGCGATAACCTGAGGTCGGGAGTTTCAGACCAGCCTGACCAACATGGAGAAACCCTGTTTCCACTAAAAATACAAAATTAGCTGGGTGTAGTGGCACATGCCTGTAATCCCAGCCACCCGGGAGGCTAAGGCAAGAGAATCGCTTGAACCTGGGAGGTGAAGGTTGCAGTGAGCCAGGATTGCCTCCAGCCTGGGCAACAAGAGCAAAACACAGTCTCAAAAAAAAAAAAATTATATTAGTGTTTTTCAAGCTTTACTCTGCAGAGCTCAATGGATTTTCCTCAAAGGTATGTGTCTTTGGCAATGAGAGTGATTGAAATTCTATTTACATTTCCTTTTCCTTCCCACTTGAATCCTTTCCCTTTAATCAGAGAAATACCATTTTGACTATTTTAAAAAATTATACTGGAGTTCTGCCGAACATTTTAAAGTGGTATAAGAAGATTATACCACTAAAACAAACTACCCAGACCAAATTGTGTCAAAACTGACACACTTCATAGTAGTTGGTAAGGTCAAGCTTCAACAAGATTTGTATTTAATTTTGAGGTTCATATAAAACTTAAAGCAATTTTGACAACTGAGGTTGTATTTCAGATTCCCAGGAAATATAAACACCTTACCCAGCATGACTAGATGATGAAGGTGGTGGCAAATCTGGTGTAAGGACATAAAGACTGTTGTTTTTTGGCAAGTGTAGCGATTTTAGGACCGTCTGCAAAAGAGAAAATAAAACAAAAAAATGAATGTTGATTATGTTGATTATTCATTACTGATTTTTCCTATAATTCTTGAAAAATTGTTAATTTTGTAGTTTGATTTTTTTCGTCTTTTGATAATTTCCTAAATAGGTTAATGCAGAAGAACTACTGAATCCAAGTAACCTTATTTCCCATATATAATAGAGTATATCTGGAGTATATATATATATATACTCCAGAATTTTTTTGTTAAAGCTCTCACTCTTTGGAATGAATAAACTACTACTGGGCTTCATATGACCTACTATTTTGATATATATATATATATATATATATATATATATATATATATATGAAATATGGTGGTATACCTGTATAACTGTATACATGCTAGTTTACTTTATGTACGCATAAAGTATATACACACATATATACATATATAAAATAAACATATATACATATATACACACAATATATACATATATAAAATAAAATAGCATAAACCTGAATGTTAATATATAAACTCTTTAGTTAATGAAGCAATACAAATAGAAAAGAACACAGTTAGGACTCAATTACTTTTTAGATCCTTGCAACTAATATATACTTCATCTCAGGATCATCATGGCAAAAATTAGCAATACAGGTTTTCAGAGATCATTAGACCTTGAAAAGATCACTCAAGAGTACCTTAAATCACTGATTTTATAGATGGGAAGCTATATAGCCTGAGAGGTTAAGTAACTTGGATGAGGTCTTTAGTGTTACCTAGATAGCTTACTCCAGATGTCTTTTTTGTTAAAGCTCTCTCTCTTTGGAATGAATACACTCTGCTATTGGGCTACATATGACCTACTATTTTGACAAGCATAGAAATTTTCACTATATTTCTTTGCCAGAAAACTCACATACATTTCAAACTCCTAACCTGAAGGGAAAAACTTGCTGAAGTACTTCAAACTTTTCTTGACAGCAATATACATTAGGAAATACATTGTACATCTTTACATCATAAGCCAGGACATGCACTTATTCAACAGATATTTATTCAGCCACCTGCTCTGTATCAGGACTACTCCAGTTACTGAGAATATAGCAGTGAACAGAATAGCCTAAAATAAAATTCTCTGATCTTATGGAGCTTACATTTTAGTTGGAATAAATAAAATAAGTAACCCTATATAATTGAATGTTGAAGGTGACAATTTTTTGACTAAACATAAAGCAGGGAAGTGGGGAGAAAGAATATGGGATTTGGGAGCTTGGAAATTTTAAACAGGGTGATCAAGGTGGGTCTCACTTGGAGAACATGACATTTGAGCAAAAACTAGAAAGTATATATTCTTTCCTGGGGAGGGGCAATCTTACCCAAGCATGGAACATAAGGAACCTATTCTTGACCCCTCCATGAGAAGACCCAGCTTATTAAGCGTGCAGTATTAATCCAAGGGCATTGATTGACTCATATTAGTTATGTGTTAAATGAAAAGAAATACATAATTATCTTTATTAGTTGAAATACACTCTGGTGTTTCCTATACTATTCTATTTATCTTTTTTAATTTCTTTTTTTCTTTCTTTCTTTCTTTCTTTTTTTTTTTTTGGTTTAATGCTGTTGACTGTAATCCACTCAATTAACTTCTCAATCCACTAATGGTTTATGGTCAATGGTTTGAAAAGAACATTGCATTAGGCAATTACCTATAACTTCACAATCTACCAGGAGACACTGACATCCTGAAACTTTATGTCAGATATGTGATATCCTTTTCAAATTGATAAGTTATCTCTATAGAGTTAACATGCAAACAAACAACACACACAAATTATTTTTAATTTTTTTATCTTTTCATTGTTTTACTTTGTGAATTCTTGGTAAATGCTTGTCATTTGATCAAGTCATTATTGTCCTTTTGTCATGCCACTATCCAAAGATTTTCTATTAAATCTTTCTCATCAAGCCACATATGGCAAGATTAAATAAAATGTATACTTTCCTTAAGTCATTTATTCATGCATTCATCCTATAAACATTTATTTCAGGTCTGTTATGCCAGGCATTAAATATACAATGATGAAAAAACAGATATGGTCCCTCTATTGATGCTGGTGTGATGGAGAATGCTGGGATGGGAGCCAGATTAGATACAGAACTCTTTTGGAGAAGGTAACTTTAAGCTGAGACTTGAATGATAAAAAAGAACCAGCCATGTGAAGAACTGGAGGTAAAGTATTCCAGGCAGTTGAATAACATCTGTCAGATAAACATGTAAAGAGCTTGAGCCTATTAAAAGATTTCAAAAAAGGCTTCTGTGGCTGCAGCATGGAAGGTGAGAATAAGAAAGGCTCAAGATGATGTTGCAGAGGTGAGAATGGGGTAAATAATACAATATCTTTTAAACTATTGTGAGTATTCTGAATTTTATTTGAAATGTAATAAAAAGTTATCTTTTAATGGGAGAGTGATATAATTGAATTTATGTTTTTTTAAGAGATCACTCTGCTGTGTGAAGAATGCACTGGAAGAAACATTGAAAGGAAGCTGAGACAACAGTAATGAAGTTATCATATTGCTCCAGACAAGAGATGCTCATGACCTGAATTAAGCATTTGTAAAAGAAATACTAAAAAGTGGTCGTGGGTGAGATATATTTTGGAGATTGAATCTATAGGATTTACCAAAGGATTAGGTATTGTAAGAAACAAGAAAAGACTGCTGGCCACATGTTAACTTTGAGACACCAATAAGATATACAAGTACAAAAGTCAATTACCAATTTGAATATGTGAATTCATAAAAGTATGAGCTAGAAATATAAATTTGGAGGCAATCAGAAAATTAATGGTACGGGAATAGCAGAAATTCCTTAGGGAAAAGAGTATATAGAAATAAGTATCCTGTGATAGGGAAGCAGAACAAAATTTAAAAAAAAAAAAAGAAAAGAAATAAGTAACTGCGGCTGGGTGCCAGGGCTCATGCCTGTAATCTCAGCACTTTGGGAGGCCAAGGCAGGAGGATCACATGAGCCCGGGAATTCAAGACCAGTCTGGACAACATAGCAACACCCTGTTTCTACAAAAATAAAAAAATAAAAAAATTAGCCAGGCGTGGTAGTGCACATCTGTAGTCCTAGCTACTTGGAAGGCTGAGGCAGGAGGATCACTTGAGCCAAGGAGGTCAAGGCAGCAATGAGCCATGGTTGTGCCACTGCACTCCAGCCTAAGGAACAGAATGAAAGAAAAAAGAACAAAGAAGTAACTGAAAGTATTTGTAACCAAGACTGTGTTCAAATCTTGAGGAGGGGAGGGTGGTGGAGGTGTGGGATACAGACTCTTGCTCTGTCACCCAGGATGGCAGACCTCAGCTCACTGCAACCTCCACCTCCCAGGTTCAAGCAATTCTTGTGCCTCAGCCTCCCAAGCAGCTGGGACTACAGGTGTGTACCACCATGCTCAGTTAATTTTTGTACTTTTGGTAGAGATGGGGGTTTTGCCATGTTGTCCAAGCTGATCTCAGCCTCCTAGCCTCAAGTAATCCGCCAGACTCAGCCTCCCAAAGTGTTGGGATTACAGGTGTGAGCCACTGCACTCAGCTGACTGTGTTCAAATGTTAGAATACATAGCTTAAAGAACATTTTCTTTCAGCCCCAGCCTGCTGCCTGGTTTTGTATGGCCTGTGAGTTAAGAATGGTTTTCACTTTTTTTAATGGTTGAAAATAAATCAAAAGAATATTTTATGGCATGTGAAATGACATAAAATTTCTGTGTCCACAAGCATAGTGAAACACAGGTATGCCCACTGTTTCACATATTGTCTATGGCTCTAAGAGAGCAGTGATTGAGTAGCTGTATGAAACACAAAGCCTAAAATATTTACTACTTGTCTCTGTACAGAAAAAGTTTGCTGACACCTAATACAGCACATCTAAACTTATCCATATCTTGCCAACCCCAAATTCCTATGAATACCTCACTGAAATACTCAGAACATCCCCAAGTTTCAAATAAACTTACATATAAGTACTTATAAGCACAATGGCTACAAGAAGCCATTCACAAAAAAGACTTGAACCAAAAGTTGAAGATTTTTGTTTCCTTGTTTGTTTTTGAGACAAAATCTTTCTCTGTTACCCAGGTTGGAGTACAGTGGTGCGATCTCAGCTCACTGTAGCCTCTGCCTCCTGGGTTCAATCAACTCTCCCACATCAACCTCCCGAGTAGCTGGGATTACAGTGGCGTGCCACCATGCCCAGCTAATTTTTGCATTTTTAGTAGAGATGGGGTTTTACCATGTTGGCCAGGCTGGTCTCAAACTCCTGATCTCAGGTGATTCACCTGCCTCCCAAAGTGTTGAGATTATAGGCATGAGCCACTGTGCCTGGCAAAAAGTTGAAAATTCAAAGTTTATGCCTGGCCATTAAAATGACTCAGTAACTAATGTGAAAAGATTCAGTAATTATTTCTACCTCAAACATCTAAAACTAAGCACTAACTCATTTTTTTCCCTCTTTTTCCACTCTCTCTGGGGAAAAAAAAAAAAAAAACATGTGCAGTAGTTGACACCTGTAATCCTAGCACAGGATTGGGAGGCCGAGGCGGGTGAATCATGAGGTCAGGAGTTGAAGACCAGCCTGGCCAACATAGTGAAACCCTGTCTCTACTAAAAATACAAAAATTAGCTGGGCATGGTGACATGGGCCTGCAGTCCCAGCTACTTGGGAGGCTGAGGCAGGAGAATTACTTGAACCCAGGAGGTGGAGGTTGCAGTGAGCCAAGATCACACTCCCGCACTCCAGTCTGGGCAACAGAGTGAGACTCATTTCAATTAAAATAAAAAAAAAAAAAAAAGCATGTAAACAATTTTATACCTGAGGTTGCTACTGGGTCCCTGAGAATAGCAACTATTTCCTTAAAATTGCCACACTTTCTGCAAATTCTTAAAATATAATTCATTCCATGCACCTGCCACTATCCAAGTCAACAAAGAAAACAACATTCTTACCATTTAAATTCTACAAGTTTAAAAAGTTTCCCATTATCTTTGTTCCATAATCAATACTTTACATAAATGTATACACTGCATGTGACTTCTTTCGAAACCAATATGTAATTCTCGGAAAATTATTATTCCAGAGGATTCACTGATACTCTAGGAGGTTGGAGAAAAAGGTAAAGGCTCTCAAGAAGAGGGCAAAACTCCTTTACAAGTTAGAAATAGGAAAACCATGCCATATACTGTTTTCATTTACAAACCTAACTCATTTAAAATTGTTACTGGTTTATCATGAAATGTTTTAGCTTAGAAAACATTATTTGCTGATTCCTTAAACTAAATTACTATTACCAAATCTACTTCTACCATATGAAACACTAATTAAAACCAATTTTTACATATCATTTAATCAATGTCATAACTTAATTTTCTCTTATTTCTATGCAGTTAAGAAACTCACACTGTCTTCCACATCTCCCGTCTTCCAGCCTTTTAACAGCATTTTGGACACAGGTATCTGAAGTTCATTTTCTAGAATCTGTTTAATCTCTCCTGTATAAATAAGAAGAGATCAAATATTACTAACAAGATAATACAGTCAACATCTGCCCATATCCACAGCTAACACTAATATGTGGCATACAGCATACAGTCAATGACATGTGTGTGATGAATATTTCTGTATCTATAAAATGGGAATATTATTTATCTTATCTTGCCCTAGGATCTGAGGATGACAAAAGATAGCATACATTAATGAAACTGAAAAATAAAGCTAGCCTGGGTGTGGTCGCTCACGCCTGTAATCCCAGCACTTTGGGAGGCCAAGGTGGACATGACATCTGAGGTCAGGAACTCAAGACTGGCCTGACCAACATGGCGAAACTCTGTTGAAACCCTGTCTCTACTAAAAATACAAAAAAAATAGCCAAATGTGGTGGCACACACCTGTAACCCCAGCTACTCAGGAGGCTGAGGCAGGAGAATCACTTGAACCCGGGAGGTGGAGGTTGGAGTAAGCCAAGATCATGCCACTGTACTCCAGCCTGGGCGATGAGAAAAACCACATCTCAAAAAATAAATAAATAAATAAATAAAGCTAATATATAGAAGACAATTTATATTGTGTTAAAGAGAAAAAACACAAGAATTTCAGAAAAGAAAACAATGTTGATATGGTTTGAATTTGTGGCCCTGCTCATCTCATGCCAAATTGTAATTCCCAGTGCTAGAGTGGGGCCTGATGGGAGGTGATTAGATCATAGGGGGCTGATTTCCCTCTTTGTTCTTGTAGTAGGGTTCTTGTGAGATCTGGTTGTTTAAAAGTGTATGTCACCTTTCCTTTCTCTCTCTCTCTCCGTCTTCCTCCTGCTCTGGCCTGCTCTCACTTTGTCTTCTGCCATAAGTAAAAGCTCCCTGGGTCTCCTCAGAAGCAGATGCTGCCATGCTTCCTACACAGCTCATGGCACCGTGAACCAATTAAACCCTTTTTCTTTTTAAATTATAGAAATTACTGGGTAATTTCTATAAATTACCCAGTCTCAGGTATTTTTTATAGCAAGGTGAAACCAAACTAACAGAGAAAATTGGTACTGAGGAGTGGAACATTGCCATAAAGACACCTGAAAATGTGTGGAAGTGACTTTGGAAATGGGTAATGGGCAGAGGCTGGAAGAGTATGGAGAGCTCAAAAAACAAGATGATGAGGGAAAATTAGTAACTTTATAGAAATGTATTAAATTATTGTGACCAAAATGCTGACAGTGATATGGACAATGAAGTAGATGGAAATGAGGAACTTATTGGGAACTAGAGCAAAGGTCACTTCTGTATGTGTTACCAAAGAACCTGGTGGCATTGTGCCCCTGCCTAGAGATCCATGGAACTTTGAGTTGAGAATGATGACTTAGGATATCTAGAGGAAGAAATTTCTAAGGAACAAAGTATTCAAGATGTTGCCTGGCTGCTTCTAGTATCCTATGTTCATACGTGTGAGCAAAGAAATGATCTGAAATGAATTATATTTAAAAGTAAAGCAGTAAAAGTTTAAAAACTTTGCAGTTATGTAGTAGAAAAGAAAAGTCCATTTTCAGAGGAGAAATTCAAGCACCCTGCAGAAATTTGCATAAGTAAAAAGGAGCCAAGTGCTGATAGCTAAAACAATGGAGAAAAGGCCTCAAAGGCATTTTAGAGACTTTCACTGCAGCCCCTGCCATCACAGGCCCAAAGGTCTACATGTGGCCAAGGCCCAGGGCCTCAACACCCTGCACAACCTCAGGACACTGCTCCCTGCATCCTGGCTGCTTTATCTCCAGCCATGGCTCAAACAAACCTGGGTACAGTTTGGTCCACTGTTTCCATGTGGTATTAAGCCTGCAGGTGCACAGAATGCAAGAGTTGAGGCATGGGTTTAGATTTCAGATGATATATCAAAAGGCCTGGATGTCCAGGCAGAAGTCTGCTGCAGGGGCAGAGCCCTCATGGAGAACCTCTGCTGAGAAAGTGCAGAGAAGAAATGTGAGGTTAGACCATCACATACCCAGTCTCCACTGGGGCACTGCTTCATGGAGCTGTGAGAAAAGGGCCACCATCATCCAGACCCTGGAATGACAGATCCACTAATACCCTGAACCTGGACAAGCCACAGGCACTCAACACCAGCCCTTGAGAGCAGTCAAGGAAGCTGAACCCTTCCAAGCCACAGGGGTGTAGTTGTCCAAGGCCTTGGGAGCCCACCCCTTGCATCATTGTGTCCTGGATATGAGACAAGGAGTCAAGCAGGATTATTTGGAACGTTAAGATTTAATGACTGCCCTGCTGGGTTTCAAACTTGCACAGCCCCATTATTTTGGCCATTTTCTCCCTTTCGGAATGGGACTATTTACCCAATGCCTATACCCTCACTGTATCTTGGGAGTAAGTAACTTGCTTTTGATTATATAGGCTCACAGGTGAAAGGGACCAGCCTTATCTCTGATGAGACTTTGGACTTTTGAGTTAATGCTAGAATAAGTTAAGACTTTGGAAGACTGCTGAGAAGGGATCACGGTATTTTGCAATGTGAGAAGGACATGAGATTTGGGAGGGGCCATGGGTGAATTTATATGGATTTGCATCTCCACCCAAATCTCATGTTAAATTATAATCCCAAGTGTTGGTGGTGGTCTGGTAAGAGGTGACTGGATCATGTGAGGCAGATTTCCCCCTTTGGGGCTGCTCTCATGATATGGTTCTCATGAGATCTGGTTGTTTTAAAAGTGCGTGCCATCTCACCACTCTCTCTCTTCCTCCTGCTCCAACAATGTGAAGATGCCTGCTCCTGCTTTGCCTTCTACCATGAGTAAAAACTCCTGAAGCCTCTCCAGAAGAAGATGTTTCCATGCTTCCTGTACAGCCTATGGAACTGTGAACCAATTAAACCTTTTTTCTTTATAAATTATCCAGTCTCAGGTTTTTTTTTTTTAATAGCAGTGCCAGAATGGATTAATACAAATGTGTTGTATCAAATAGCCAGAGAAGGTTTTGTGAGAGAAATGAGACTTAAAACAAACGAAGTATAGCTGGTCTGTGAAGGACAGACAAACCAAAATAAGGAAGGATACTCTATACAGTGAAGAAAAATGACTGAAAGGTAAAAAAGCAAAAATAGGCATGATGCTAATGAAAAACAGTGAGAAATCACAATTTTCTCAGTGCTCCACAAATTCTTTTTCAGGAATCAAATCCACCTATAAATTAATCAGCTGATTTCTGGTACTATACTATTTTAAAGATCACTGAATCAGAATGTACTAATCTTTCATGCATCTGCTTATGTTAGGTTGCTGCTAGTCTACAGGTCCAGATTAAAATGTAATTCAGTTCCATTTACATAAGAATATGAATGCCAAAAAGACTGATTATATTACATATTAAAAGAAGAAAAATAATTCTATGCTAAAGAAAAAGAAGGGTGAGGGGAAAACGTGATATACAAGTTTTATGGGAACACAACTACCTAAGTAAGCAATGCTACAATGCAATTATTCATGGCCTCAGTGATATTTTTTAACTTTCCTTAAAAAGATCCCTATCTAAGCACTTTAAATAGTGATTATCATTAAAATAATTCTGGTTCAATATTATAGTTGTGGAAGCAAAAACTAATCAATCTTGGCCTTCAAAACTCACTGCTGACAAAGAATCATTCTGTTTATGGAAACAGCAGAAAAATAAGCCACAGTTTTTATACCAAACACATATAAACATTGCCTTTTTGCTTGTGGCTGCGGTTGCTGTTTCTAGAGGTGTACCTGTGTGGAACTGGACTTATGTATTTGCAAGTCTGTCCAGTGCTCAGAAACCAATTTCCAAGACCGGCACCACCTTCATACACTCTTGAAAACACTCTGAGCCTTCATGACTTACAAGAAGTTTCTTAATGGAAAAACAAGAAGGAATTTTAACTTAAAGTCCCAGTTACTCTTGCAGAAAGTCTGGGTAACACATAAGACAAACAGCATTTTGTTCCACAGGAAGAGAGGAACAGAAAAGAGAGTTGGAATCATAACAGCAACCTGCGTTTCTCACATTTTAAAAATTATTCTCTATTGCAAGGTGACTCATGCCTATAATCCTAGCACTTTGGGGGCCAAGGCAGAAGGACAGCTTGAGCTCAAAAGTTTGAGACCAACTTGAGCAACATAGTGAGACACCACCTCTACAAAAAATTTTTAATAATTAGCCAGGCATGGTGGTACATGCCTGTAATCCCAGCTATTCAGGAGGGTGAAGTAGAATGACTGCTTGAGACCAGGAGATGGAGACTGCAGTGAGCCATAATCATGCCACTGCACTCCATCCTGGATGACAAAGTGAGAACCTGTCCTCCTCCCTTAAAAAAAATTAACTATTGGCCTCAATCTCTTCTTCTATAAAGTGGAAATGATAATTATAGAAACAACACTTCATTGGGTTGCTGTATTAAGTGATGTAATTCATGAAAAATGTTTTGCAGAGTGCCTAATACATACTGAGAAACAAAAAATGTTGGTTGTTTTGAGTCATATTATTACAATTAATGAGATAATATACACATAAGTGTCTAGTATAGTACCTGGGCAGTATAGGTTCTCAAAACACAGTAGTGATTATTGTTTTTATGATACCCAAAATAATTCAGGGGAACAAAGTACTGAAATGTAGAAAGTTTCGAAGTCTGAATTCACATTTGTGTCTGCCTAACTCCAAAGATCTTACCACAAGATGGCACTGCCACTACAGTATCCCACCCCCAGCGATGTTCCTTGAAAAATTGTGAAGACATGCAGATGTCATCAAGAACAAATCACTGAATCCAATAGCATACTTTTGTATTTAAACAATTAACTTAAGTCCTTGCTTTGGGGGCATATACACTAAAACTGGACCAATACAGAGAAGATTAGCATGAAAAATCAGAATTTTTAAAAATTAATTGGATTATGATTTATATCCAATAAAATTCACTCGTGAGTTCTGACAAATATGTATACTGTTGTAACCACCATATAATCAAGATAAAGAACATTTCC